TAACACTGATGTCATGCTGATGATGATGATGATGACTCAGCTGAATCTCAGCCGAATCTCTCGTTCATCGTATTCCTTTTCAACTGAATGTACTGCACACAGACTGCCTCATGTTTCAGTTGGTGTGATATTGGAGATATCGCAGTGTATTTTCTTCGGCATAACACTACTTATAAGGTTTCGAGTAGCGTACCAGCTGAAACTTGAGGCGGTCTTTGTGCAGCAGGTGCAGTTGAGGAATACCGTAGACGAGAGGTTCAGTTCGGATTCCGTTGACCATCCTATGGGAACGGAATTAGTGTGCAAATGGGTGTTTCTGGAGAGCTGCGTCCAATTCCGGTTGAGGGTAACTAGGGGACTATACCTACTTAATGAGTCCCAAGAAGAACGAAACCGGTAGTAGGCTGTTGGACTGTTTTCAGTAGCCTTATAAGTAGTGTTTCTCCAGGCGATGTTAGTAGCCTGTCATGGAAACTTCGACGTTCCAGTGATGCTACACTAATATGTTCGACCGACTATTTCCTCAGTGTATAAATGCATTTGGTGTCGCCCTGTGCCCAAACTAAACGACTGGATTTGGCCCAACCATACATTGATACGTGGCGAGATGACCCAAGTGGTTAGAGCGCGAATCTGATGACCGGAAGGTCCGTGGTTCGAACCCGACCTCTGTCTCTCGACTTCCCCTGTCTAGGCTTGGGCAACCTGGCAGTACACCAGACCTCGTGCTTCCTTCGGTTGGCATGGCAGCTAGGCACCGGAAGGGTGCTACAGCTGAACGCTACGTTATCCTATTTTTCAACGAAAAGTACACACTGTTTCGGACTGGACAGTGACCCCGAAAGTCGCACACATCACCGACAATTCGCAACAAGCCTCTGCCTCAGTTTTCCGTCACTTTGCACATGGTTGGCAAGCAATATAGACTATTTTAGTACCCAATAGTTCCCTCGAGCGAAAACCTTCCGGAAAGAGCCCAACTCTCCGAACAACGCCAAGCACGCCATGCCGGTATGCCTGCTCCTTAGGGAAGTGTGTCTCGTCGAGCGTTAACCGGTTTTGCTGCCATTAATCCTCTAGTTTCTTTGGTCTAATCCACTTTGGTCGCCTGTCACTTGCGGTGCAATGTTTGCTTGTTTTTTTGTCGTCAGGTGTGCCTACCTTCTGCAAATGGCAGTGTTCCTGCCAAGCGTTCTACAGACCAAAACCATATAGACATACTGACGGACGCTCCGGTCACTGAACAGTACAATTCTACCTTCACCTTATATGATGCAGATCACAAGGTAAGCGAGATGTGTTTCGTGGAAAAATCGATAGTATTCTTTCTCTGCTTCGTTCCTAGTATGATCTGGCTCAGTGGTTAGAGCGCGAATTTACTGACCGGAAGGTCCGTGGTTCGAAACCGACCTTCGCCTCTCGACTTATCCTGTCTAGGCTTGGACAGCCTGGCAGTATTCCAGCCCTCGTGCTTCCTTCTGACAATTAGGTACCGAAAAGATGCTGCAGGTGAACCATTCTTCTCGCACACCAACAGTTTTGAGGACGAGCGAAACCGAGTACATCTATTTCGTTCTCCTCATCTTAAACGGTGTAATTTTCGTGACCGTTGGAAGATTATGAAGACCGATTTGCCTTTGCGGTCATTTTACACCTTGTACAACTTCCCCCTTCTCCCCTTTGCTGACTTTCTGCGTTGATTTTCGGAGATATGTTCGGAAATTCTCTCCGCTTCTCTGATACACAACCCCAGTGTTTTCATCAATGAAGGTGAAGTTAGTATACTCATGTTGCTGTCGCTACAATTGATGTGAGCTTCGTTCTCCTCTCTCTTTCTCAGCTTGTTATGTGTTTTTTGTTCGTTGCGGATGCTGCATTCACAAGACGAAAAATCGGGGATCGCCAAAATTACTTCTTTGGGGTTCCTGCTAGATGTACTTTTTTTCAGAAGAATGAAGAGTGACTTCCTCACCATCATCAACACCACAGAACGCTGGTGCCTTTACGTTTCTCTGGTACTTTGCGAATGTAGTCCAAGGGAACCGCTCTGGATAATTTTGAATGTGGTATCTGGGCCTCCTTCTCCNACCCCCCCCCCCCCGGAGAAGTTTGGGACATGCCGTTCAGATGGTCACGAGCTCCTTTGGTCTCCATTAGTGGGATTGGTAATTTTTGTACTACCTAACCGGAATATTATTTGAAAAAAACGACAAAAGGCAGTTTTTTGCTGATGTATGGTGTATTAACAAGAACACTGGTACTCCGTGGCCGCGCAGTCAGTTGGTCATGTCTCTGTCTTACAGCATTGTGAGTCTGAATCACTACGAAACGCGTGGTGAATCGTTTTTCAGGCACAACGAAATTTCATCTTTGCTTACAAATTCATCCACCTACTTAACTGATGTGGTTGTTCCCCGTTCACCTAGGTCCGCGCGGTTGGAAAATGCGAGCAGCTGGATGATGGGGACTCGGTCATTCGATTTCCCACTGTGATTCTGGAGAAATCGAACTCATCAGTCGCGACCTCGTGGAAGCATGAAAGCCGAACGACCACTAAGAGCTCTGCCGGACATGCGTCCTCATTGGCAGATAGATACGGAAACTTTCTGGTGCGTTTATGACCTTTGATTGTCTATTTTTTGCCAGAAATCTAACATAGTACGTCTTTCACTGGTAGAGGGATGCGCGAAAGCTTGCTGCTGTGATAAAAGTCAAGAAAACGTAGTTAGAGGGTCACTACTTTACAAACGCCAACTGGAATTGACCCGGACACTCGTCTGGATCTGACCTTGTACGCATGCTTTGGTGGCCCCGAATAAGATATGGCATAATATGTACAACGCATGAGACGGCGAAACCGTCTTCGACCTACATCAGATTTTCCATCTTGCTTGACTGTCGAATGGGTGATGAATCTGTGCCCCAACTCAGTACCTGTGACTTTGTACTGCATTTCGCTACCGGGAGATACTTTGTTTTCAGATAAGATTACTTGGAGCCACCTGCCGTCTGTCGCTTGTGAGTGCACGTGACTCTTCGGAAATCTGAATTGTTTGATCTCTTTAAAGCGAATTGACTTATGGGTTGGCGTGGCTAAGAATAGATCTTGTAAGATTGATGGCATCGCAATCCAAACGCAGTCATTTCAGATCTAGCCCTGATTTGGTTTTCCCTTTTTTGTCACATTGCTTTAATTCCCTCCCGCACACAACACGAAAATGCCCAACTGATATTTTTCTTAATCTTTCAGCTCGCAACTCCGCGCCCTCGGTCTAGCGTTTGCGTAAGTCCCCCGAGTTTCTCGTTTGATCAATGACACAGAGTTTACAGTCGGTTTTTGTCGGTCAAAATATACGTAACAGGTTGATATTTGTAAGCAAATAGAAGGGAGGGATCAACCGCACACAATGATGGCCTTAATTCGAACGACTGTAGTGTTGAAATGAAGTTCAGTGCAGGAGGCAGTGGGTGTGTTACCGCATCTTCTATCTATCTATCTATCAGTGCTCCCAATCAATATGTTCACGGGTTCCTCAACGCAAGAACGAACATTTGACTACGGGACATTGCTTCCATACATTGGTACCAAGGTCATTTTTGACCGATTTCAGAGAGATCCCCCTCGGTACATCGCTGAAACTGAACAGCTTTGGGGAATAAACAGTCTCCTGACATTCGAACCGGTGTGGCTGAGCGAATTACTTCTTCCGAAAGCCCTCGAATATGAGAATATCTGGTCCAAGCGAACAGCACATCGTCGGAAACCGATGAAATCCCCTGCCCAGGTTTCTGACCAAAGGACCGAGCGCGATATAACTAACCACTTTGATAATAGACAGGATGAACATCGTGGAGCTATCCTATGGCAGCAGTGATTTGCCACTAAACCTTTCTCTACCATACTATCTGTATTTGTCCCCATTGATCATTCAGAGGCTGTCGCTGTGGTAGCAATTCTCCCAGAGTTTGTTCTAACCGATTCTTCCCGATCTGCATCGAATAGGAAAACGTCATTGTCTCAGGTTTTCTTACTGTCGTTTCGCAGCGCAGTCTATAAGTTATGCCGGTGGGTGTACGGAACAGCACTGCATGGAACGTACACACGTCCAAATATGGAATGAGTCAGCATCATCATCATTGTCAGCTGTAATAACCGCGTACTCGTCCTACAGTGGTTGTAGCTACCGCAGTTTCGTTCACCGATGATTTGGTGGGGGGAGGGGTAGGTAGCTGCGCATTTCAGGCGGGAGCTGATAAATTGGCGCATAAATCCAGCACTGTCAGTGGGCTGTCAAGTGGGGTGGGGGGTCGGAAAAGGAGCTATTCATTGAAGGCAATAGCTTGGATGCACGAACGCCATTGAGGGTGCGACTGGGCCATGTCTGAC